GCACCCCCGAGGCGATCTCATCAATGCTAAATTTCAAAACCTGGTGCTGATCCTTTCATGTGCCCCAGCCGCTCCATGAACTAATAGCATCCAGTGATTGAGTTCATGCAGCTGGCTTAGATTCATTAATCTAATCAGCCGGACGTCGAGATCTTGAGCCGTTTTACTCATTAGTCTATCGAACATCCATGAGCTAATTTTATTCAGCGTTCCAGTTCATGAACCAACTGGGGCAAGGACAGATTTATTAATCTAATCGGTTTGTGTGCCCTAGCCGCTCCATGAACTAATAGTATTCAGTGATTGAGTTCGTGCAGCTGGCTTAGATTCATTAATCTAATTGGCCAGACATCGAGGCCTTGAGCCGTTTTACTCATTAGTCTATCGAACATCCATGAGCTAATTTTATTCAGCGTTCTAATTCATGCACTAACTGGGGCAAAGGCAGATTTATTAATCTAATCAGTTTGTGTGCCCCAGCCGCTCCATGAACTAATAGCATTTATTGATTGAGTTCGTGCAGCTGGCTTAGATTCATTAATCTAATCGGCCAGACGTCGAGGCCTTGAGCCGTTTTACTCATTAGTCTATCGAACATCCATGAACCAATTTTATTCGGCGTTCCAGTTTATGCACCAACTGGGGCAAAGGCAGATTCATTAATCTAATCGGCTTGAGTGCCCCAGCTACTCCATGAACAGATTCATTAAGATAGTCGGCCCCAGCTGCTCTATGAACTAATAGCATTTGGCGATTGAGTTCATGCAGCTGGGGAGATGCATTAATCTCATCGGCCAGACGTTAAGGCCCTGAGCTGTTTCACTCGTTAGTCTATCGAATAGTCATGCCTTTCCAAATTGTTAACTGCCGATTCTCTTAGATATTTGGCTAAATAACAAAGAGGCAGAGGAGGTTTAATCGATTCGGTTCATTTATCGGATGTTTAATTTACTCATATGTAGCAAACAACAAAGCATAAGGAATTGTCATTAATAAATTAAAGACAAATAATATATGCAATAAACTAAAAAGCATAGAAAATTTTCATTTATAAACTGAGCGCAACTAGTAGTCATTTTACACATCAAAATTAGCTTACATTTAAAGAAATAAAAATCTACTAACAAAAACCTGCGAAAACTATGCATCCAAGATCTACCAAAAACCAAAGTATCCCTTAATCAATCCTCAGGGTCAGACGCCAGCGGCTCAACGTCCACCTGCTCGTATGGAATCGGCTATGCCAATGTCACATTCGTAACAGTGAGGGCTTTGAGCCAGCCCATGTTTGAAGCCCTGATTCTGGAACTTGGTAACTTCTTCCACATAGTTATCCAAGGCGGCATCCTTTCCAGCTTGGAACGCTTTGGAAATCTCTGAGTTAGCTATTTCTTTTGCCTTCTTCGATTCTTTCAAGTCAGCTTCCAGCTTGGCGATCACCTCTGTAGCTAACTTAAGCGCATCTTCGCTCGCCTTCGCCCTCTCTTCGGTGGCAAGCCTTAGTTGGTCGGAATTCCTCGCTCGCTCGGCCTTAGAGTCGGCTCTCGCCCATTCCTCCACCGCTTGCGATGCCTCGGAATCGGCCCTTTCAGAGGCCATCACAACCTTGTTTTTTTCATTGTTAATTTCGGCTTTCAAGAAGCTGATCTGTTCTATAGCGCCATGTTGACGGTGGCCGATTTCGGCTATCCTACCCACCATCTGCAAACACAAGGAAATAGAGTTACAACAAATAAATAGTAAGAAATATATATATATATATATATATGTGTGTGTGTGTGTGTGTGTGTGTGTGTGTGTGTATGAGTATTGTTGAACACATGTATTCTTTTTCATTGAGATGTGTGATTGTTGATCGAGTTTTAGAAGTTTTTAGAGTCGGCTCTCGCCCATTCCTCCACCGCTTACGATGCCTCGGAATCGGCCCTTTCAGAGGCCATCACAACCTTGTTTTTTTCATTGTTAATTTCGGCTTTCAAGAATCTGATCTGTTCTATAGCGCCATGTTGACGGTGGCCGATTTCGGCTATCCTACCCACCATCTGCAAACACAAGGAAATAGAGTTACAACAAACAAATAGTAAGAAATATATATATATATATATATATGTATTTAGGTGGAAGACTGCAAATAAGGCAAGTAACTTACCAATAAGGCCGACTGAGCGGCTAAAGTAATTAGCATCAAGTCTGGCTCCGCCCGAAATATGGCTCTGTCTACCGGCAAGGATATTGAGGAAGCCATACTCAAAGCCACAACCGGGTCCTTCAAAGCCGACGCATCAGAGGCAATTGGCATATTCTTTATCCTTGGTTGAACAGTGAACGGAACAACCAAGTCTGATTCCTCAATGCGCGGCTGTTTATCGCTTTGGTCATCTGGGATAGCATCTTGCTCGGCAAGGCGCTTTTCTCCCATTTGCTCAGCCTCCTTATCCTCCTGCTCTACCTGCTCTGTCTCGGTCGTTTCAATCTGAACCGTTTCTTCCCCAATAATAGGCGGAGAGGCCTCATCAAGGGTGGCGGATGGAGTTTCTGATCGGACGGCCTTGGCTCTCCTCCGAGCGGCCATCCTTTCGACGTTTTTCCTGCGGGCAAGTTGCGTGAGCGATTCTCCAGCCATGTTCTCAGGATAAGTGCCGAGGAGGTCTTCTAAGTCTGTAAAAATTTCTTCGAATGAGGCGTCCCCTCGGCCTGATATGGATGAAGGGTTAGATGAATTGAGTCCGGCCTCCTCAAAGGCCGAATTGAGAGCCTCGTCTACCTCGACTTCCAACTGGTTCGGGTCCTCGACGACCGTTTCAGCTACTTGTTTTTCCACGTGCTCCGAATCGGAGTCTTCTAAACCAATCTGCCTTAGGTTTTTGAAGTTCGGGAAGATAAGGGCTGTAAGATGATCTTCGCCTCTGGGAATTGGGATGTGGTTTGTCGCCGAAAACGTTGCGTAAGTTGGCTCGTACCGTAGAAGAATGTGGGCCGCCCGCCTTTGTTTCTGAAGGCTTGGACGACCAACGAACTGTAGTGCGATTTTAATTTCCGCAAGCACAGTGTCATTGGCTGAAGCCAACACTTTCTTCAAATCATTGCCTACAAAACAAAACAGTAAGTACATAGAAGGAAGCCGAATACATATATAGCAAAAGAAGAAACAAAAATGAGCTATACGGCCACCTCGTTCACCTTTTCGCCTTGTCACGGGATCTAGGCGATCTTCACCCTTGCCGAATTCCCAGTTGCCTCGGACAACGACCATTACATCGTCAACACACTTGCCAGAATTGGCAAGCAGGGTCACTAAGTGATGATCGGTATCCTTGGCCTTGAGAAAATAACGTCCTAGTCGGCCAGTAGACTTGGCTAAGGCATAACAATGTCGAATAACAGGTATACCTAGGTTAATCCTAAGGCGTCTATTCAATTCTATAATCCCCATTATGATTCGGAAAAAATTTACGTTAGGTTGGGAAGGGATTAGATCCTAGTGTCGAAGGACGACCCTTAAATATGGGTAAAAGGGAAAACGGACTCCGCCATCAGCAATCGATAGGAGATGAAAGATGATTGTACGCTCATCAGTCCTCTTCATATCAGTAGTGCTGTCTGCCATGAGTGACAGATGAACGTCGTCAAGGATGAAATAATGGCGTCGGAAGCCCGAAATTCGACCCGCATAAAGGAGTTCTTTCAAATATTTTGCCATCTTAGCCAGCCTAAGGATTATACGAAGCTAAAAATAAATGAGGAAATGGGATTCGAAGTGAAGGAGAATAAAACTTACAAGAAGCAGAAGAGATAATGAGAGACAGGAGGAAGTTGCAGAGGTCGCGAAATGGAGGTATATCGAAAGGCAAACCAGAAGTTTTGAGTATTCAAAAAGAATTTACACACGAAGGGACAACATAGTTTCAAATCGCATTAAATGAAAAACGCATACGAAGAGGCGGAAAGATGTAATAATGCCTAGAAAGCATGTGTTCTAACATACGTTGGGATGAGGTTAGCCGCCTTTCTTTCTTTGCTTCTCAAATTTGAAAATAAACGTGCTGTTCGAAACCAAACATGCCGAATAACTGGCGTTAATAGGATGTTTGGGAGGCAATTGTGGGAGTCGAATATTCCGGGGACAATAAGGCCAGATACAAGTATGAGGATAGTCAAGGACGGAATTTGTATTCGGCATTGATCCTAGTCAACCACATAGCCGAATAGGATAATCGACATTCCAACCAGCAGGACAAAAGCCGAATAAGTAGACGTGCAATGGATCAAGGATGGGCCCAACCCTGAGGCCCAAGGGAAAGAATATAAATAGAGGAGTATTAGCCAGAGAAAGGTATATGAGAACAAGTAAGTTTAACTTAAGATTTAAGCAACCAAGAGAGTATACACTGACTGATCCGTCGGAGTGCTAATTCCGGCATCTCCGACCGGAGTGTTCATTCATTTTCAGGTGACTAGCTGAGGATCTCGAGTGTCTCATTGGATCCAAAGAGTATTTCCAAACCACTTCTCCACAAAAATAAATTAAAAAATATTTACCAATCAGTCCTATTAATTAGACTTATTTATTTACAAGTCTGGATTAATAAATTTATTATTATAAATTTATTCATAAAAATAAAAATTAATAAATTTATCACTTAATAAATTTATTAATAAAACTTGATGGAAAATAAATCTAAAAAACAAGCCTACAAAAGTTTCACCCAATTTGGATGCCACATGTTAACTAAATAAAATTTTAAAATATAACTGAAAATTACTTTTAAAACTTTTTATTTATTTATTTATTATTATTAATCAATAAATTAATCACTTTTTTTTCTTTCATATCTTCTCTCTCGTCTCTCCGCTCTCACATTCTTTCATTATAAAAAAAATTACAAATCATTCCAAAACAAGCCATTTTTCAACTCATAATTAAATATTTTTTTTCTTTAAATTATGATTCAAAAATTTAAAACTAAAAGTACAAACGCTCACGCAAAAATCATAAAAATTTACCTGTTGGGCGAAATGAGCCATTTCTCACTCCTTTTCAGTCTCTTCTTGGTTCCTCATACGCGGGACCACCAGCGTACAGAGTGAGCCTACAGAGTGAGAAGAGTTTGTGCGCGCGCGCGCGCGAGCACTCTCTTCGTCGGAGATTCTAATTCTCAGAGATTGTCGATTCTCCTCCATTTTGATTTTTTCGATTTCTGGAATTTATCGCAAGCGAAGATGAATCCGAATTTGCAGAACATCGCACTTTCTCGGGCAAGTAATTCCATATGTAATAGTAGTAGTAGTGTTCATCTCATATCTTTCTGTCGTCTGCTGTATCAAAGGCATTGAAAATGTTTGGGTTGTAATGTAGTGAGGAGTAGCTGGGCTAGGGTTCTGCTTTGAAGATCTGATCTGAGTTTTGGTAAAAGAATCAGTCATGGGGATTGCATTTACTCGATTGTTTTCTTCGTTGTTCGGTAACAGAGAAGCTCGAATTCTTGTTCTCGGACTTGACAATGCTGGAAAAACCACAATTCTCTGTATGGATTCTTCCATTTCTAGTTGTTGTTGTTGTTGTTTTTTTTTTTTTTCCACTGTGTTCTCCAGAATTTTTGATAATTTAACGGATCAATTCAATTTCACGCAGATCGGCTTCAGATGGGTGGAGTTGTGTCCACAATTCCAAGTTGGTACTCTCTTTCTCAGTCTTTTTTTATGTTTCTTTAAGGCCATGTTTGGTTGATTCATTTGGGGAGAGATTTAGAAAGCGACGTGCTTTTTCCCTTTTCCTTTCTAAATTCGTCCCCAAATAACCAAATACAGCCTAATTGTTATTTGTGTAAGATGCGAGCCCCAGTCCAACAATCCAAAATAAGGATTGTCATTATATCTCTTGCCATATTTTCTAAGTTCGAAGGAACTAAGATGGTGGCCTTAGAAGAAGAGATCAAGAGAGAGGAGTATACTAGGGTAAGACTCTCACTTGTTCTACCCAAACTCTCTTCTATTCTACCTACATACATGCCTCTCATCTCTTCTAGTATGGCGAGTCTCACTTATATAACCACATAAATGGAGGCCACTAGTACAAGACAAAATCCATGAAAATAAATAATGAAGAAAAACTTGTAAGTAGTTGGCAACAGTAAAGCTTGTGAAGTGTTGTGTACAAAAAGATGGAATAAAGTTATGGTTAGTCTACCTACATGGGTGATTGACAAACATCTCTCATCTGTATATGTTGGGTAGTGCTAGAAATTGGTCTTCTCTCAATCTTGCATTTGATAATCTTATCATACAAAACATAAAGGGTGAGACCTGATGAAAAAGCATAAGATAATAGTGCTATATTAACTAACACAGCACATCACTCATGATATTTCGTCTGTACCTGCACTGTTTGATCACACCTTATCAAGCATCTTAACCCATTGTGTATCACAACTCAAAGCAATTCTGACCCCAATCAATATTTCATGTACTCATGATTATATATATATATATAATTCTCACATAATTGCGTAGACTATGAGTTGTAAATAATCTTCTCTAACCATTCATATCAATCCATTTAGACTAGATCATTTTTTCGGCATATTCGGTTGGATCACATCAATCTCAACCATGGAAAATATGCTAAAGTAGCAACATCATATCTTTACTTCATGACAGTTCAAGGGTATAAGATAGACCATACATTGGCCTAATGGATCACATTGTATTGGAGTAGAGATCCTCCAAACACTCCTTCAAATGGTCGATAATAACACATACAATAGATGTATGCTATGGTAGAGTTCTCACTAGATTGGATTTGGCACACTCAACTCTATATGAATCTTAGTCTAGTTGCCACTGAGGTGCTTAACATGGATTTCTTAGCTGAGTTGATAATTGGGTGCCTGTATAAGACCTCAAATTCTGCTTTTATTTAGATTTTATGGCGTTATGGCTATGAAGCACGGACACGGACACGGACACGGACATAGGACACGTCAATTTTTAAAAAATGGGGACACGGACACGGCAGGGGACACGAAAGATTTTTTAATTTTTTTTATAAATATTTTTATTTTAATACATATTAATTATTTTATTTATTTATTATATTTTTTAAGTAATATGTTCTAATTAATTTTTTTATTTTATTTTATATACATGTTTATTTATTTTTATTAATATGTATAAATATATATAATATAATAGTTATATAATAATAACTGGTGGCATCCTTTATAACTATTATAAAAATAATACTTTCAGTTATTATTATAATATAATAATAATAGTTATTATATATATATATGAATCCAGCAGATTATAATAATAGTTATATATTATATACATATATGAATCCAGCAGATTAAAGAAGATAAAGACGCGGCTGAGAGAGAGAGAGAGAGAGAGGAAGAAGCGATCGATCGCGATCGCGAGGGAGAGAAGGTGAGAGAGAGAGCTCGTCGAAGTCGAAGGGCGACTGGATCGTCGAAGTCAAAGGGGATGGAGGTCGCCGGCGAGTCGACTGGACTGGATCGAAGTCATGGAGGTCGCCGGCGAGTTGACTGGACTGGATCGAAGTCCAGGTTTGTTTCAAGACCTTTACTCTTCTCCTTTACTCTTCTTTTTTGCTCTCTGTGTCTAGATTTGGACACGCGTGTCTAGATTTGGTGGACACGCGTGTCTTCGCTGTGTCTCCTGCAAAAAAATAATTAAATTAAAGGGACACGCCACCCGGCGTGTCCCGTACGTGTTCCCGACGTGTCCTCGTGTCCCCGGTGTGTCCCCGTATCAGACACTGCCACGGCATGAAATCTGCCGTGTCCATGCTTCATAGCGTTATGGAATGACCTTATATTCGACTCTTATAAGTCTCACCTTAGTCCATCTAAGGCATGGTTAAGAATCCTAATCCGAATTGTAGGATTTTACGATTCTACCACCCCAGTTTTGACAAATGATTTGGATCGCACTAGGACCTAAAATTTTGTAGAACCTTGGCTATGATCTTAGTCACAAAATCGTGTAGAATCACACTATGATCCCGATTCTACTACGATCCCGATTCTATCAACTTTTTTTTTTTTATTATTATTTCTCATATATGTGTTTGTATATATTATATATATACATAATTTTTTTTTTGACTAGAAACTATTTTCTAACGTCTTCGTCTTATGAAGAATTCGATTTGAGGAGTATGTGAAAACTTCTGTTTATTTACATAATAAGATTTCTTCAACTTATTTGAATTAAAATGTTTGGAGAGATATTCGAAAATTGTCCCTCTAAAATCAGAGTCAATGAATTCAATTTTTTATTTGAATAAAATTGTTTGGAGGGAGAATTTTAAAAGTTGATTATTCTCTAAAATCAATATTAGCAACCATTTTATCAACTTTTATTTATAAATATTAGTAGTAATTACTATATTACAATTTATGTTAGCATTGAACATGCGTTATATCAATTTTGTAATTTCTCTTTAATGATTTCAAAATTATTTTATGGACATTATCATTATAGATAATATTTAAATTTATTTTGCGCTGAAAGAAGAATCTTTTGATTCTCTATCTATTTCTACAATTTGATAAATGAGACCCTCCCAACGATCCCAAGTAGGATCTTGATTTTAACAATAACAACTTTGAACTAAAGGCGAAATTTGAATGCAAATTAACTTTGTTCCCCATTTAAGCACCAAAACATTTACCTTGCTTGTTCTCCAAGTGCCAAGATGTTTAATGTCTCATCCTGCTCGCCATGAAAGTGCTAGCGTAATTTGTGGATCATTCTTAGCCTAGTTACCTACAAAACACTGTGTGCGAGATTCTTTTATCCATCATGCCACAATACATATCCATATTCACATGAAAAATATAAGATACTCATAATCGTGAATGGTCCAAAATTTCATAGTCAATAAGGTAGCCACAATGCGTATCAAAGTCTATAAAGTCTCAGACTTTTTACATGAGTCTGAAAGACATCTCTAGCAGTGACTTTAGTAAGATCAACAACTATCTTGTTAGCAGAGATATGTTGTAGGATCACCTCTCCTCATGCAATCATATATCAAATGGAGAAGAATCAAATGTTTATTTGTTTGGTTCGACATGATACTTGGGATCCCTCATATATGTTAAAGTTTCCATGCTGAGGGATGGCAATGTCGTGGGGTCGGATTCTGTATTCCTAGCCCCCCGATTCTTGAGAGTGTTGTGTTCCCATGTCCTCGCCTTGATCCCCCGATACGTAATGTTCTGAGCATGCCATCCTTGCACCCCCCAATCCCCCACCTTTAAAAAAAAAAAAAAAAACCCCCCCCCCCCCCTATAAAAAAAAAAAAAAAAAAAAAAAAAAAAAAAGAGAGAGAAAGAAAGAAAAGTTTAGAGGAGAAACAATAAATCTAGTAAACAACTTGCATTATTTATCTTTAAACTCAATCAAAATAAGGCAAGATTTCATGTATTTTCTTGTCAACCAAATAGTATGATACCAATTATAAAAGGGGAAAAGAAAAACTCTCAGAAGACTTGTTCAATGGTTATAGCAAAGGCAAAGGGAAAAAAAACAGGAAAAAAAAAAAAAAATCCTTTGGTCGAATTCGAAAGAAAACACCATGGCACCACCACCATAACCCTTCACCACTACACCCAGGTGGAGGTGTTGCACAGTGTGTGAAGGAGTCCGTTGACTCAGATCTGGTCTTTCACGGTGCATGCAGTGGCGATTAGTTGCTAGTAGTGCCGGTGGTGATGATCTTTATTGAACTGCCCCTTGGCAACATAGTAGAAGAGTGTCAGACTTGGTTGTTCTGGCTGGTGGATTGAAGAGGAAAATATAGGGAAGGTGGAAGAAGACATACAAAAAGTGCAGAGACTCAAAGAGAGACTCAGAGAGAGAGAGAGAGGCCTTAAAAAGTGTGAATCAAGGAGGCAATAAAGGGGTATTTAAAAGGAAGCTTATGGAGAAATTTAAAATAAATAAATAGGAAAGAGATATATTATATATATAATTTTTTTTTTAAAAAAAAACTAGTTGCAACAACCTTCAAGTGGCTCATTTGGTGTTCTTGAATTCTGAGCACCAAGTTAGGTGTTCAAGATTTGTGCACAACATCTAATGAGGCCATGGGTGGGGCGGGGTGGGGTGGGCACCCTTAATCTCAACCTTACTCCATCCTCAATCAGGTTTTAAAATTTTGTCCCATCCTTGTCCTAATTCGGAAAAAATTGTAAAAATCCACTCCATCGGGGTGGGGACGAGGCAAAGTTGTAGCAGAGCATGTTGAATTGCCATCACTTGCCATGCTGTCAGGGTGGGTCCCTCCATCAAGGAGAGCAGGTTGGTCAGACCGGGTTTAAACAACTTAAATAATTATTAAAATTCATTTGAACAGTATGAATTGTTGAAGTAAACAAGAAGAATCAAAAGAGAAATTAATGCCATGTATCAAATATAACAATACAAATTCACTTATGCCCACATCTGAGTTTAATGTTGAAAGCCTTCAATGTTTTTTACTTACTAGAAAAAGAAGTGTTTGAGCACCTATTTGCCACAACATCCACTGCTAGTTATAGAAACATAGATGTTATGAATATGAAATAATATTGAACAAATTCCCATGGGAAAAATAGGACACTTGAGAGAAACGTTAGAAAATAAAGAAATAAGGAATTCACTGAGAGTGACGGCTAGATCATATTGCAACTTGACTAAAAGTATAGAGAGTTGACTATCACAATCGAAAATAGAGGGGCTGAAGTAGAATTTTGGGTAAAGTGTAGTGATACTAAGTGTAATTTAGTCTTTTTGTTTCTAGTGTTTGAGAGAATTAGTAGAACTTGGTAAAAATGGATAGAGCGGAAGGGAGAAGGTAAACTGAGAATGATTACAAAAAATAAAAAAATAAAAAATCAAGAGACAATGTATGATGAGTGCATGAGGGAATGATGAAAGACTAAGAGAATGAGAGATAAAATTAAGTTAAAGAAAGAGTATGGGCTACCATTATTAATTTTTTAAGGGGAAAAATGTGTAGGGCCACCAGAAGCAAAAAAAGAAAGCCTTCAAAGAGCTGTAATTTTGGTTGGGAGGGCCACTTATATATGGAATGATATGTCATTGTTGGACTAACATGTATATATAGTGGATTTTCACAATTTTTGGGGGCCATGACCCGTACTAACCCTTTCTCCCTCTAACGCTACATGCTATCATTATATGACAAGCTTCATTTGTATGAGCCATGACTCGAAGGGGCTGAAGGATTCTCCTCAACAAACCACTTCTTGCGAAGCATATGTCTTGTGGAATAGTACACATCAGACTACCAAATGTGCTCGCATCCTTTTTCATTTGTCTCACCAAAGGCACAAAGATGAGTGGCTTGAGAGAGAGAGAGAGAGAGAGAGAGAGAGAGAACGTTACGGTCAGCCTACCACATAGGTGAGTGACTAAGTTTGCCAAGAAGCTCTAGGAAAAAGATATCCACCATGGTTTTAATGGAGCAGGGGGCTCAATTGATTGGAGGCATTCAAATTCTTGAACTTGAAACTAATAAAATCTGTAAGGAATTCGAAAATTGTCAGTCATTTTTAATTTATATTGCTAGTAGAAGTTTTTCTCAACATTTTTTTTTCTCGTTGTTCTAGGACATGTGAATTGATTCCCATGTATGTATTTGATGCAGCAATTGGGTTTAATGTGGAAACCGTGCAATATAACAACATAAAGTTTCAAGTTTGGGATCTAGGTATGCCAACTTATTATTTGATGATTTGCATTATCTTTTCTCTTGCCAGAACATTATTGAAAATATAATTGTTTTTTTCCTTGTGCCAAAACTGATGTTGCATTTTGTCTCCTAATTGCTTTGTATTGGGTATAAAAATTAATTTGGAATTTAGGGAATCCCGTTCTGTAGCTATTAAGTTGATGGAATGGGGTTGAAATTCATGTGGGTGGGCAAATGGATGTGTTGTTTATGTTTGTGTCAAATATTGGGTTCTAGAAAGTGCTCTGAATTGTTAGCATTGGAATTGCTATTCTTTGCAATTGAAAACCTTGATGAGATTATTTCAATTTACATTAGTTCATGAGAACAAGAAAGTCTAGTCCATTTACTGTGTTCAGTAACAAAGTTTTTGGTTTACTGCATGCAAATGGTAAATTTTGTATTGTTGCCAGAGACATATTTGGCTACAATGTGGTTAGAAAAAGTTTCTTAAAGATGTATAGTTGGTGTAGTTCTTATGTGTTATGAGAGATCTTTAAATAGCATTTTAATGTATAGTTGGTATAGTTCTTTCATATGCAGATTGCACCCCATGGTGCCTCCTTTTAATACGATGAGTGTTGATTTTACACCAATTTGGATTTATGCTCGATAGGTCGATAATGGAAGCGACCGATCTTTTGAGGAAAGTAATAAAAAAGTATAAAAAGAAGAAAAAAGACATTCATATGGTTTTTGTTGATCTTGTAAAATATATGATAGAGTGTCTTGGGATATAATCTGGTAGGTGTTAGAGAAGAAAATGGTGACAAAAGGCTACAGTGATGTGATTAGGGATATGTATGAAGGTGTGGTGATCACTATTAAATCGCCGGTTGGAGAAACAAGTGAATTTTCAATTACTGTGCGGTTACACCAAGGATCAACCTTAAGTTCTTATCTTTTTGCTTTAGTTATGAATGAGTTGACGAGAAATATTCAGGATGATGTGCAATGGTGTATACTTTTTGCAGATAATATCGTGTTAGTGGATGAGACTAGAGAATGAGTTAATACTAAGTTGGAGACATGGAGAGCACCACTTGAATTTAAAGGATTTAGGATAAGCAGAACTAAGACAGAGTACATGAAGTGTAATTTTAGTAATATTGAGCATGGAAACAAAGGAGAAGTAAAGATTGAGAATCAAAAACTGCCTAAGAGTAAACTTTTTCGTTATTTAGGATCGATTATTACAACGGTTGAGGAGATTGGAGTAGATGTGGTTCATGGAATTAAGGCGGGGTGGCTTAAGTGGAGGAGTGCGTTCGGGGTACTGTGCAATAAATGAGTACCCACTAGATTAAAAGGAAAGTTCTATAGAATGGCTATTAGACCAGCGATGGTGTATGAGACGGAATGTTGGGAAATTAAGAAATAACATGTAGATAAGATGAATGTTGCTGAGATAAAAATGCTAAGGTGGATGTGTGGCAAGACTAGAAAAGACAAAGTTAGAAATGAGTATATTTGTGAATGGATACTAGTAGCAATGATAGAAGATAAGCTGAGAGGTATAGATTGAGATGGTTTGGTCATATACAACGGAGACCAACAGAGGTAATAGTGAAGACATACGATACAGTGACGGTAGAGGGAAGTGTTAGGGGAAGGGGCAGACCTAGATAGCCGTGGGCTAGTGTAATAAATAGAGATATGAATCTCTTTAATTTGATTAACCAAATGGCCTTTGATAAAATCGAGTGGTGAAGAAGAATTCATATAGCCAACCTCATTTGATGGGACATAAGGCTTGGTTTGGTTTGGTATTAAGGTCAAACTAGTGAAAAAATAGTAACAACAATAACAATAACAACAAAGATGGATGTTGATGGAGTTGTGTTTTGTGTTGATGTTTAGATGAGTTCATAATGGAAATGGTTTAGCATTCCAGAAACCACAATTCTTATTATTTGTAGTGTGGCTGTGTACATTACACGTGCATTAAAACGCTAATAGAACCCTAAAATTTGATTCCAATTTTTTGCAATGTCTAACTAACAATTATTTTGATATCATACAAAATTAAAATTAACAACAATTGAAGGTCTGTGAAACATGATCATATGAGAGCGAGAGATGGTAGAGATCTACAAGCAAACAACATGTGGATTTTAGGAGTTGAGTTGGCTGAAAAGTTCCCTATGGGAAGATGGCCGATGCTAAGATGACTGGAGACCACTGAAGGTGGAGATGAGAGAGTCAAGGAAGCCTTAAAAGAGAGAGAAAAGGTGGTAGTGGAGAGCAAGGTGATGATCAATGTGTACAAGGTTCCCTTATATATGGTGGCGTGCTAGGGAGAGCCAACTTAGTTGAGGAGAGGTTGCTCAACCTCTATGGTTGAGAAAAATGGGGGGACTTCAGCCAATTCTACAACCTCAATAAGGCATTGGGGGACATATCATATGTAGGTGGTTGGTAGGTATGTTATGTCAGCATCTATTGAACCATAATGGCTCTGGGGGTAGGTATGATACAAGCATCAAGGTGTCCCATGTCTTGGTCAAGGCCCCTCTCTAAGATTGATTGGAACACACCTTGTCTCAAAGGGGAGCTTGACAACTGTCTGGAAGAACCCTTGAACTCTAGTCTCTATTCCCTCTGGTGAACCTGAGTGAGGTACCTAGGTCCTACTTCTAGCCTATATAGCATGAGGAGTGAGCTTTAATCTTGGAGATCGAAACATGCTCATTGGGACTCTTGGAGGGCTAAGTGGACTGACTGAGCTCAAGGTTCTGGGCACCCGATTGGGCCACATGTTGTCTTGGGATGCATTCATGTGGCACAAGCTTCTTGTAGGTGAACCCACCTAAGGGGTGATGTGGTGTTGATGTGGCAGTACCATGTGGCGTGGCTGGACCTATGTACCTACACAATGAAAACAAATTATGTAAGAACTTTGTTCAGTTTTTTAGTCTGTCTGTAGGAGGATATCATATGAAAAATGTAACTGATTCTTTTTTTTCTTTGGGCTACTGGCCATCCGTCGGGAGTTTCGGAGTGTTTGCTTTTTCATTGTGGTGTTGCTGGGAAGCTTCTGCGCTTTGGTATTTACTAGGTCTTCTGGTAATAGTTTTGTTGGCTAGTTAGGGAGGTTGAAGGGTTGGTAGGAGTCACTGGTATGGTTTGCAAGCTCTGTTTTATGCCTTACATTGGAAGGGGAAGAATTTCCATTCTTTTGATGCAGTGGAGATGTCAATTCATGAAAAGAGAATGATCAAGTCTTTTATGTAGTTTTTTTTTAGAGTGGGTGGGTAACCTTTTTGTCAGTTTTTTGATTTTGTAAATAGCTTGGGTGATCAAAGCTGATTTTTGTTGTTTTGCTTCTAATTTTACTCTTGTATAGCTTGCAAGCTCTGCTTCATTTTTTAAATAGCTTGGGTGATCAAAGCTGATTTTTGTTGTTTTGCTTCTAATTTTACTCTTGTATAGCTTGCAAGCTCTGCTTCATTTTTTTTTTAATTAAAAAAAAATTGATTTCACCAAATTCATGAACATCCTTGTTGTATTAGCACAATTCCATCCATCCTTATGACTTATGCGAGATTGAGAGGGCTTTTTTTTTTTTTTTTGGGACATTCTAAATGCACAAGTTTTTCCTTTCCTTTCCTGATCTTTTTATTTTTATTTTTTATTTTTTATTTTTATTTTTTGGATTTTTATTATATGTCCATTTTTTTGTTCCCTAAATAGGATACAAGAAATTGTCTACTTTGTTTGTTGTTGGATTAGAAATTTTTTGTTGGTTTCTTCTTCTGATAGTGGTGTTTTGGGTGACACAGGTGGGCAGACCAGTATCAGGTATCTGTCCTTAAACATTTATTTCCTTTCTTTTGTCTTATGTTTATAACTACATTTTGCCTTGCAGATGCTATTTTTGGAAATAATATTTTTATTGGTTTGAAATTAAATTTTAAATTTAACTAGGATTTTCTAAAAAATTTCTTTTTGATTCTAGATTCCAAATCTGGTAATTTTTTGAATTTTCTATAATCATTGAGTGATGGGCAATTAATTTTTGTAATTGGGACATGAATTGCTGTGTTTAGTAGGGGTCCGGGGATTCTGCTGCGCCTAAGGGCAGCAGTTACTGCTGCTCTTTACACGGTGGCGTTTTGGCTCATGCTTTGCTTATTTCTCTTGTTTTGTGTAAACCAACGTGCTTTTGAGTAATCATTTCTTGAGTTATTCATCCACAATCAACAACCTTTCCATATTGTAGTTTTTTAATATTTAGAATAGTCATAAAAATTAGGGTAAATTGCAAATACGCCTTATGAAGTTTACTTAACATATGATTTGTCTCTTGTGATTTGAAAAATTACAAATACTCCTTTGTCAAAATATTTTATTTAACAAAATTAATTGAAAAATGAAATTCTTAACTGCTTTACTGTATAATAATAAAATTATTTGAATTATTAATTGATTGTTAATTGAATTGATGATTTATTAATAAAAGAGGTTCGTTTGTCTTTAATTTTTAAAATAAAATAACAAAAAGAAGTGACATGTATCTCTTATATAAATGAAAATGGATTGATAGAGATCATCTCAGGGTACATTGTGAAATACTAATGAAATGGATTGATAGAGATCATCTCAGTAGCCATTGTGAAATACTAATGAAATAGAAAATTAGTAAGAGATTTTATAAATGATCTCTAATTGTTTCACATTAATAAAAGAAACTTGAATTATAATTGATGGTTAGAAAATTGAATTATATGAGTTCTATTTCATAGTTCAAAAATTTTAGAAAAGAATAAAAATAATGACTTATTAGACTTATTTACATTTTTCGTTATGAAATACTATTTTCACAATATAAGAAATGGGATAGATTCCTCTCCAGTCTGCAATTGAATTGAAGAGTGTTGTTGGGTTGTGGAGGGCCTTGATTTGGGCCCATTTCGATGATTCAAATTGTTTATGTGTAGATCTTGTTGAGTATATAATTCTTGCAAAAAATTACATTGATTGGATATCGATAGCTATTTGATCAGATTAGATTCGTGCCAATGGCATATGATTTTTAAAAATAAAATGGCTATCGATATCCGAATAACTTGATTTTTTTGCAGGAATGATATACTCAACAAGATCTACAGATTGAACAATTTGAATCATCGAAATGGTCTCAGATCAAGGCCCACCACGGCCCAATAACACTCTTCAATTAAATTGTAGACCGGAGAAGAGCCTATCGCATAAAGAAATTATCTTCGATTAGTCAAGTGTTAAAATTAAATTACTTTTTTTTTTACCATAACAAACTTCGCTTTACCCTCTATGGTATAGGCCATATGCGGATCACCCCCCCTAAGGTTCGAATATCACCACATAACCTCCCTGTGGTTGATGGAGTGAAGTGCACAGTTATCACCGTTAACATCAGAAGTAAAAAGACTATTTTTTCCTTGTATATATAACCTTTGTTTAACATTTCTTCTTCAACAGTAGTGCATTTGAGAAGAACAAGAGAGAGAACTTAGGGTTTTGATATATGAAATTCCACCGAACCAGAACAAACCCATCATCATCATGATTCGACAATCGAAGATCGCAAATGGGTCTCGATCGAATCAAAGTCTGAGTTCAAAATAGAAATGGGTTTGGATACGAACCCGTTTTATGCCGAATCGTTCATCGAATGGGATGGGCGAGCACCATTAGAGGTGATATACAAAGTGTACGAAGACGATCAAAATGACAATGTCTTGAATGAGAAAGAAGAGCGATACCCATCGCTGTGAATGATTTTAGGAGTTTAGTATTTAGATTTTAAATTGATTTGTAGAATATTGAATGATTGGATAATATATATACATTTACAGGTTATAAATATACATATATATACAAATTATATATATATTATTCACTGTGCATATATATGTTTGTGATACAATTTGCAGGTTTATATATATATATATATGTATGTTAGAGTTGGTGATTCAAATTTTGTTTTCTTTTTTATTTACTTGTCATAATTTAACATCAATTGATTTGATCAAACTTAAACATTTGTAAACATTTTTAATTGATTACTTTCACTCGGAGTGGTTTGATTATGGAGCTATTGGTGGGAGTTTGTAATTTTTTTTTTTTTTTGTTCGTACAGATTTCCAGATTTAGGTTTTGAAAAATGAAAAGGTGTAGACACCTCATTTTTGACCGTCCTCAAGACTTGGACGTCATCGTTTGAACACTTGATGATCATCCATGCTCGTGTTCGTTTTGAGATCTCGGAGGTCTCGGCTATGCGCCTTGCCTCAAGATCTCTCAACTTATCTGTTTTGTGCTTGGTCATGGACCAAACATTTGTGGTTTTGCTTCTAAGGGAAGAGGGTGGCTTGTTTGCCATCTCCTCGACCCACCGGCCATGGCATGAGGCCATCGGCCCCTTTTTCTTGCCACCGGCGAAGAGTGTTGGCCGGTCGGCACTATATTTGGTCGATCGGCCATTTTTGGTGGCTGAACCCTGTTCATCTACTATATGCAGATATTTTGTGCCAGCTGGCACCCATTATTCCCCCCCTCCATACACGTGTATGGAGGGATTTGCTCCTTGCTTGGCTTCTCTTGGAAGCCTTAGAATTTGAGCCTCTATAAAGAGGGAGCCCCTCCTCTCTCTTCCAAGGTTCAGAAAATTGGTTCTTGAGAGGATAGATAAAGTGTTGTATCTATTTTACTTAGTTTGGTCTTGTTTTGTGACCTAAAGTGAGTTTTGTCTTACTTTTGTATTAGAACACCTAGCATTACACCATCCTTGGGTTGTTGAAGCCTTAGAAGGTTGTTGTTAGGGTTCTTAGACTGGTTTTGACCAAAGAAAGGTGTTGGAGCTTTGTTCCTAAAGAAGGTCTACAAGGGTGAGCATCCTTACTTTAGTTACCCCTTTCTTGCTTAGGCCTTTAGCCATTCTTGCTTATTGTTTTAAGCTTTGACTATAACTAATAAAAGTTCTGATTTTGTGTGCTTTAGAACTTTGTTTAAGGTCACTTTGAGGTTTGGGGTTGTCTCCCCCCTCCAAGGCCTTGTTAGGCCTTGTTTTAGGCCATACCTTTTGGCCATTGTTTTGGTCTTCGCATGACCTCTCTACCACTGAAATCCAGAGGATTTTCAGTGGTGGAGAGGTGGTTTTGAGGTCCTAAAAAGGAGAGGGTCATCCCCTCTCCTTGTTGTCTTTAATGCTTGCATAAATGGCTTATGTGGTAGCATGTGTGTTTAGTTTGTTTTAGCTCCAGTTCAGTATGTATTAGGCTTTGTTTTGCCATGATACACCTCTGTTTTGAGTTGGTTTAGACATGCCATGTATGCTTCATACACTTGTCTTGTAATCCCATGATTTGGCCTTAATATGCATCATGTTGTAACATGTGTTTAGCATGATTTTGGCTCAACTCCATGAAGCTTTTAGCCTTGTTGTAGCATGCTTAAGCTCTGTTTTTCATTATTTTGGTTATGCTTACATTGTTTCGTATAGCCGCCATGCAATCTAGCTTGTTAGCTTTGAGTGTCCAAGTTGCTAGCATGCTCTATTTGGATCATTTCAGTGGTTTGGCATCACTTAGAATGTTATTTCAGTTCATATTTTATGCTTGAATACTTGCACTTATCACTCATTTAATGTCTTAAAGAGTTTGTGTTTTACGCCTCATGAATGTGTCATTGTGTATGCTTTCATGCTTAGGCCATTTGGATGCCATCTAAGTGTGTTTTGGGCCTTGTCTCGACCTGCATTGGGACTGTTTTGAGTCCCTTTGACCCTTTGGGACTTGGTTGGTATGGCCATGGTTTGAGCCCTTTGGTTAGCCTTAGGCCTTGGACCTTCTTACATGCTTTACTTACTTTATTTGGTTGATTTGGCATCATTCCTCACATATTTTCAGAGCTTAATGCATTGTCATATTTTCATATTTATCACATCTTGCTCATGCTTGAGGATTGTGCATGGTTGCCTCAGTGTTGGACCACTCACATGTGCATGATTGCCGTGCATTTTTATGCCTCCAATTCTTGACTTTGGCCACTGATTTGGGCTTATTTGAGAGCTGCCCATTTTGGTTTAAGACCATTCCCGCATGTTGTTGCATGCTTGCCTTGTATGTTGTCACATACTTGTTGCATATTTGGTGCATTGCATGTTGTAGCATGCTAGTTTAATTGTGCCTCGTTGTGTACTTAATCCATGACATGTTGTCGCATGCTTAAGTTGTAATACATTTGGCATGCATTCTCTTTTTTTAGTTACTTAACACGTTGTCACATGTTTGCCTCACATGTTGCATTTTCATCATTGGCATCGTTGTTACATGCTTTGCATGCTTGTTTGTTTAGGTTGTATGCCTATTGCACATTGCTTGCTTACATGCCTAGGTTGCGTAGCATTAAGCATGCATCCTTTGCCTCTTGATCAACCATGATGGAGGTTAGGGCCCCCCCTTTCGTGTTTATGTGCATTCATTGTACATTAATTTGCACACTCGGCTCCTTTGGCCATCATGCATTGAAATGCTTGATTGATGGCCCGAGGGTCGAGAACCATGCTCCTTTAAGTCTCAAACATGCCGAGGAGGGTGGTGGTGCATACATTGCTTTGAAAATGCATTGCCATGCTGTCTGTCCTCTGCTGCAGCAAAACAGGATTCTGCAGGGAGAGATGGCCGGCCGGCCATGTATCGTTGGCCGATATCCCCACAAATGGTAGATGATCAGTTCCCCATGGCCGGTGGCCTCACCTCTTGGTCGGTGACCTCCCACAACCCTCAGGGAGTAGTTCAGAAGCAACTTTGATACTTGTGCAGTGTTCAGAGGTGCAGAGCAGTGTAAACAGAGGCAACATGAGTATGGCGATGAATTTCTGAGCGGAGCCGAGCGTGCACGCATTCATCCCTCTTCCCGAGGCCTCTTTACTGCTTTCTTAGCTTAATTAATCATTTAATTAATTAAGTATTGTGTAATATTTAATTGGCTTGTTAGTTAATTAATTTGTATTATTCTTTCGGTTCCTTCCTCGAGAGGGCGCAATCGTGTAATAAGCGTGCGTGTGTGTGATGCATGTCTTCCAGCCTCCACTTCTTTCTCCCTTTTACTTAACCGCTTACGATGGTTAGTTCTAGGGCACATTTCAATTAGCATCCTTATGCTATGCATGTTTGCATCATTCATCTGTATTGCATTCACCGTGCTCGGCGCATCATACTAACTGCATTGTATTTAAGTTCCAAGTTGAATGCATGTATCGAATTGTCGCATCTCATATGCCATTTTAGATTAGCCGAGCCTATTCTAGTTGCATTTTGCCTGCGATGCATTAGCCATCTTAACATGGACTTGGATCATACATTTGATTAGTGTTTTTTGAGGAAACGCTTGATAAAGTTTCGATCTTTGGTGATCTCTGTTGGTTTCAAAAGTGCTGAATTTGAAAGATTTCAAAATTTCTTGTGTTTGGAGCTGTTTTATATTGCGGGAAAACGAAGGATTAACAACATTTCAGTTGGGTAATTAGTTGTCTTGCCTTTCGTGATCGATTTAATATAGTATTATAAACCCAAAGGACCTGAAGACCCAGAGAGACATTCTCTTCAAATACTTGTTTTTTAGAGTTCATTTGTCCGATTTGACTGAGACGGTGATAGGTTTGTGCTAGTTTTAAAGTTTCTGGGTTTGTTCTGAAGAAGAAGAAGGAGAGAAGATTAAGGTTTTTGAGTTTGAAGTGATGATGACAATGTCCTACAAGGATGGTAAGACAACAGTGATGGACAATGGAAAATATGTCTGTTACACACCTGAGCAGGTTGAAGCCCTTGAGAGGATCTATCATGAATGCGCCAAACCCAATTCGGTTTGTCGGCAACAACTCTTTTGTAAAATTTTATGCTAAGTCTTACTTTCACTGGAAGTGGTTTGATTATGGAGGTACCGGTGGGAGTTTGTAATTTTACTATTTTTTTTTTGGTAAAGATTTTTCCAGATCTGGGTTTTGAAAAATGAAGAAGATAGGCTGCTTTGGAAATTGGTGATGAAGATGAGGGCATTTTAGTCATTTAATTCGGATGAAAAATCATCTTTCCATGACCAATTGCACAACCCTCGCGTGTATTGCATAGCCTGTTAGAATAGATAGAAAAACTAACTGTGCACTTCACTCCATCAACCATAGGGGGGTTATGTGATGATATTCGAACTTTAGGGGGGTGATCTGCACATGACCTATACCATAGGGGGGTAAAGTAAAGTTTGTCCTTATTTTATACAACTAGTATACTATATATTACAAATACTATGTTAAAGTGCACAAATCCATCAGCATATGAATTCTAAAGCCTTGGAAATCATAGTGGTTTACAAAAAAGACAGAAAGAGGAAAAGTCAGGCCTCACCAAAAAGTGGTCTTTTAAAGGGACCCGTTTAGCAGGCAGCATCCCTTGTAAATAAGGTTGTTAGCCATTGAGACTAGGGGGTCATTGATTGAGCCTAATAAAATTCAGAGAAGTTTGCTCTATTTCATATTGTTCTTGTTTTTCTTTTCCTTTGTTCACTTCATGCATTTCTCTACCACCAACCCCATCAACTCCATCTCGCCACCTCCCCCACCATTTTTCTGCTACCACCCACCATCGCCTCCCTTGTTCATGGCATCCCCCATCACCCCCTCTCCTGCCCCCCATGATACGAGCCTCAATGGAAAATGGTAATCAACAAGAACATATTAACCAGACAACGGAAACAGGCACTTTGCTTTTGCAGGGTAGAGCACACTTTTCATTAATGAAAAAGACGAACACAATTTTTTACAAATTCAATTCACACCCCTCCTCTTTTCTCTTATTTATAGTCCGCAGGGCTTGGCAAACTAACTGCTGTGACAAACCCCCTCCTATGTTCTCTTATTCATATTTTCAATTTTGGATCTACGCAACCCCCACAAAAACCAATTGAATTTCGAAACAATTCCAAAAAGGCTCTACACACACACACACACACACACACACACACATCTCACACAAACCCAAAAAGATTGTACAGTGAACCTTTCTTGATACTTTTTTATTGGTGATTCCAAAAACATTCCATGGCTATTAAGAGAAACTCATTTGAGTGAAGATGTGTTTTTAATTTTTTTAATTTTTTGATCTCTGTTCTGTTGGTGTCAAGATGAAGATGTTTTGAATCATAAAGATGAATTGTATGTTGCAGTGTAGCAGTTGGTAATGCTCAGAACTTGAATCCAGTAAAGGAGATTTTTTTAAAAAAAGAATTAGACAATAGCTATAATTGTGGTGCCTCTTGATTGCATTTTGGAGTTGTAGAACATGGCTCTGAAAATGAGTTATTGTTTGATTGTTATGTTGTTTCTGTTTGAGTTTGAGATATGGCCTTACCAGCTAAACTGGTAATTACAAATCAAGTGCAAGTGTTTTGATCCAGTGCTTTGATGATTAAATTTTTTATTGCTTTAGGACTTATGTCAAGGTCTGGATATTTTGGAGTTAGAAATTAGATGTAAACATTATAGGAAAATAAAAGAAAAGATAGTTGAGGGTATTAAGGTCATTCTCTAATTATTGTTAACGGAGTTATTATTACATTTTAGTCTCAAACCTTGTGGGGGGTATATGACTATTTTTAAAAGACTGGGAGGTAAAGTGCTATTGGGTCATACCACAAGGGGGTAAAATGGATTTTTCCCTATAAAATATTATGCAGAATGATTGTGCATTGTTAGGATTATGAAATAATTTAACATCTTTTAGTTTTGTATTATTGTCTTTAGAAAACATCGTAACTTCAAATAACTTGTTATTGATAGCGACCAGTTTATTATAAAATCTAAATTAACCTCATTGTTTTGTTTGTTGCTTTTTCTTAGCCGTACTGTATGATCCATTAGCAGAGTCCTTGATAAACCATCCTTCACTTCTTTTGTTGCTCCATCTTAGTCTTGAGTTGTAATGCTGTACCCACTATGTGCTTCTTGAGAATTTGTGATGCTGCTTACATTTCACTTGAAACATGAAGTAATCAGTTACTCGCTTTTAGGATGACCTCATTGAAAGAATCCCTATGGCCCTGGATGAATGCTAAATCTAATCCGGGGTTGGGGGATATGCAATACCATAGGGAGTGTGGTATTGCATATCCCCCACTTTTGAGGGAGATGGTATCTGGACTCCCTTTATTTGGAGCAACCAAATGCCAAATATAGGGAGGCAAAAAAACACGTAGGCCCTACATCATATAATATCTGGCCACCCGCTATATCCGCCTTTATATCCTCTGTTAAAACCTACTACACCTACCACCACCTACTACCACCTACTACACACCTACCACTACCACCTACTCCACCTACTCCACTACATCTCCTATATAAGGAGCCCCTCACCATTTGTAATAAATAACATACATCAATCAATAATACATACAATTTATTCTCTCTCTATCAATTTTTTTACATGGTATCAGAGCAAGGTTAAGAACTTAGTATTTTTTTGCTTCACCGGCGGGCGGCAACCTCGCCTTGGCCGCCCGCCGGACCTCAACCTAGTCCGCTAGAATTTGCTACACATACCTTCACTCCGTCGGCCCACACGACAGCCACCGATTTGGTTTTCTCAATTTGGTTTTCTCCAAGTGCTGCTGCTCTTTGGCAAGCTTCTTGAGCCTAGCAAGTTCAAGGTCTTTGCTCATCTTCCTTTTGTACATGTCTGGGAAGGTGATTGGTTCCTCCATTATTGACTTCTCTCCTTCTCTGATCTTTAATGGGTACACTATTGCCTCTGGAGCTGATGGATAATCTGCTGCTCTTTGAGTTCACCACTGCTTGATGGTCTGCGTTCTTGAACCTCCCATTTCTTGAAACATACAGGTTCTGTCTCCTATTTCTACTTTCCACCTACTTGGGCATCTCTCTTCCCGTGGGCATTGGAGGAATTTTAAACTTGGTCATGGACAAGTGGGTTTGCCCCCCACTCATTCTCTCTCTCCCAATACATGGGTATTCTTCTCCTATTATTATTCTTAAACAACAACACAAAAAAAAAAAAAAAAAAAAAAAAAAAAACGAAAAAAAAAAAAACACACTGCAGCAGCAGAGGGACAAGGGCAACACACACACCACCCACCGAATTGCCTATGCCCTCTATTATACCTCCCACAAATGGACCAACCCAGAAGATCCAATGTTCATCCCAAATATGTTTGTTGTTGTAAATCACAGCAGCTCCAAAGCTCCTAGCGGGGTTGATACCAGTACCCGTAATTGGAATGGTCGCCAAATGAACCATAAACACCGCAAACCCGATAGGCAAAGGAGCCAAAACAGGGACATTAGAGTCACGAGCACTTCTCTTGGGATCAGTGGCTGCGAAAACAGTGTAAACGAGGACGAAAGTACTGATGATCTCAGCACCAAGAGCAGTGCCTTTGTTGTACCCATGAGCAACTGAGTTCGCACCACCACCGAGCGAGTTGTAGGAAGATTTCATGAAGGCCTTAACTAACCCAACTCCACAGATTGCACCCAAACACTGCGCTATCATGTAAGCCAATGCTCTGATCAGCGACACCTTCCTTGCCAAGAACAACCCAAATGTCACCGCCGGGTTTATGTGACCACCGGAGATGCCGGCAGTGCAGTAGACGAGGACGAAGATCATGCCGCCGAAGGACCAGGCGATGCCGAGGATGCCGACGCCGTCGCAGGGGCCGGTTTGTTTTTTGTGGCCGATGACGGTGGCGATGGTGATGTAGAGGAAGAGGAGGGTGGCGATGAACTCGGCGATGATGGCTCTGTAGAAGGACTAGAGCTGGAGCTCCGCCATGTCAATGAGTGGTGCTGGTGGTGGGTCGACGTAGTCTTTGCCATGGTTGGCATGTCCTTCTTCGCTCACTTCCTTCGACATCTTCTTCTTCTTCTTCTACTCTCTCTCTCTAAAAAGCTCTCTGTTTCTCTCTCTCTCTCTCTCTCTCTAAAAAACACACTGCAGCAGCAGAGGGACAAGGGCAACACACATACCACCCACCGAATTGCCTATGCCCTCTATTATACCTCCCACATGCACTTTAGGATGAATACATTTTTTTTAATCAACCCACTCCCTCTCTCTCTCTGGTCCCTTTTTCTCTCCACTAGACCCACTTTAATCATATCCCTCCTTTCTCTTAATTTATTCCACCCACTCTCTCTATGGTCCATTCCTCCCCCACCTTCATCTCTTTTATCTGCAAGCGCACATGCTTTCCCCATTCATACATTTTTGTTATTCTTATTCTTATTTTTATTATTATTATTATTCAAAAAAAAAAAAAAAAAAAAAAAAAAACAAAAAAACAAACAAAAAAAACAAAACAAAAAAAAAAAAAACTTATTTTTTCTTTCTTCTCCTGATGTGAGATTATAAAATAAATCATAAACTAATTAGAGTTTTATTTTTATATGGTTAAATGAAAGTTATCAATGGAAAATTTTTTAATTGTTTAAAATTAAAAAAATCAATATGAAAAATCGCAGTTAAACCAGAGAATCAGTTAAACCGAAAATGGTTCAACCTAATCGGTTAGGTTAAATGACCAACTAACTTATACAAAAATTAATTAATTAAAACTTTTAAATGTTATTTTAATTTTAAAATTTAAACTGTATTAAATTGAAGCATGCACAACACTATAATATTAAGGTTCACTCTATATAAGTGAAACAACTCACTTTTTTCTTCTTTTTCTGATGCGACATTATAAAATAAAAGTTAACAATTATCTAAGGCGAGAAGTTTATTTTTAATCAAATAATCTCAATTGTTCAATCTTTAATAAGATCAATCTGTGAATTTCCATATTTAATTTTTTGTAGTTTCCACTTCTATTTTTATTAAACTTCTATTTTTATTCACATCCTTATACATGCGTTGGAGCAGAGCCAGCTGGGAGTTTAACTGTTGCACTTCATTTGTCCTGCTCTGCAGCCGGTGCGACAAGTTTGTGACCGCAGTCATGGTTTCCACACATGACTTCAGAGTATACTGATTGGCCTCAATATCAGTTTGCACCGCCATTTTTTGCTCCACCGACCGCATCGGAAAGTTCAACGGAGCAAAACCAGAGGTGTTTGGTTGAGGTTCACTGGCCACCGCACCAGTTATTTCTCTTGTGGACTCGTTCAGGTCTGGAAAGAGCGTGAGCAGACCACGGGAAGAGGAGGCCATGTTTTTTGGGTTGCTGAGTGTTTCAGCGACGCAGCGATTTTCGACTGGTACTTTCAGAGAAGGATTGGTTACAGAGTGTTTACAGAGTATTTCAGAATGCAAATGTTCGGCGGTTTCAGACTGGTTTGCACAGCCTCCGTCTCAACCTTGGTTAAATAGCCAAGGCAGACACGCGCATCATGCGCCGCTCGGCGCTCGACGACAACATGGGCGCGCCTTTTGATGGCACAGGTGGGCGGTTTAGGGGATGTCGTGACTGGTCTCGGTAAAGCATTACAGAAGAGAGGGGTCCGACAAGACTTTTTAAACTGTCCCGACATTGATTTCGGTTAGACTTTTTAAGGGTCCGACAAGACTCTGTAAACTGTCCCGACATTGATTCCGGTTAGCTCCTTCATGGGTCCGACAAGACTCTGTAAGACAAGGCCATAGTCTGTATGCGGATTTACTTTATTAATTTTGACTTTGTTGAGTTTTCTAAAATATAAAAATGGTATCATATAAATAATGGTGCTTAAAACTTGACCTAATTTCTCCTTTCTGAATTTTTTTGGTACTACTATCAGGTCTTTCTTACCTCTTGAGAGCTACTGTAAAATATCTAATGAAAGGTCCCTAAGCACAATATGGAAATTATTAATTCATTGGTACGGACAGGGCTTTTTGCCTACTTGAAGAATATTGTTTTTTTATTTATTGAATTAATTGATATTCTTCAAGTAGGCAATATACTGATGAATTAATCCTTGATTGTGCTTTGGGTTTTTTGAGAATCATTTAAATTTTCTATCTAATATTTGATGGTGGTGAGTGATTCATTGTGGAATGGTGCTGCAGCATCATTATAGTTCAAATGTTTATCCAATGTAGTTATCACATTTATGGTTATAGGTCAATTCTCATGGGTCCATTATAATTTGGTTTTCAGCTAATCTATTTTATATTTATTTGCTCTTCTAGTGTTATATTTGGGTATTATCTTTCTGATTGTATATGCACATTGCACAAGTTTCATCTACTTTAGCGAGAAAAGGGATGAAATGGGTCATCATTTAGTTTTTTCCTCCCCTCGCTTTCCATTATGTAATACTGGTAGTTATGAAGCACGGACCTCTCCGGAGGTAACGTATAGGCAAGGTACTAAAAAGCGGTTGCGGTCGCCGTAACGGTGGCGGTGGCGCGGTTGCGGTTGCGGGGTGTAAAGGCTGTAGCATAACGGTTGCGGTAACCGGAACTGTGAATTTTTCTATTTTTCGCACAATTTGAAAAAAACTTACCGATACGAACATTTTTTTTCCATGATCATATTTATTGGGTTTTAAAATAAATATTGATCAATTTTTATAAATTTTTAAGTTTGATCTAATATATTTCATATTTTTAAATCACTATAAACTAAGTTTTTTACATTTTATTTTAATAATTAATGACTTTATATTATACAAAAAATCAATCACTAACTATTATATATAAGATAAACAATGACAAAGGTAAGAATAAATAAAAGCGTATATATATATATATATATTAATCAAGCCAAATAGATAATGACCACACTTATTATTATTATTATTATTATTATTATCAAACAATATATAGATACGCACACACAAACAAAATGGTTGAGTAATAGCAGCTGAATAGAATAGCATAGGTCTTACAACTTCAACAAATCAATAACATGTTCTTCATCTTCCCTATTCTTTCTCTCTATCTCTTGTTCCTCCATCTTCCCTCTTCTCTCTCTATCTCTCTTCCCTCATTTTCAACTTTTTTTTTTTTGTGTTTTTTCGAAAGAAGCAATTCGGACCGGTTACGTAACAGTGCGTAACAGGCCGTTACGGCACCGTTACGACCGCTATAGCAGCCACTACGGCCGATACACCTGTGAATCTCAATCACACTACAAAAGCGACCGTAACGGGTGGCGGTAACTACCACAACCGTTACGTAACGGCGTTACGTAACGGTTGCGGCCGCTTTTTAAAACCTTGCGTATAGGTCTTTGACACGGACACGGCCCGGACACGCTCCGGACACGTGCCGGACACGTTGGGACACTTGTGACATAGGGCTGTAAATGAACAGAGCCGTTCGTGAATAAGCTCGAGCTCAGCTCGGTAAGAGCTCATTTGAACTCGGTTTGTTAAATTTTTTTATTTTTTTTTTTTTTTTTTTTTGCGTTCGAGCTCGTTAAATTTTTAATAAACAAGTCCAAACATACTAAAGTTCGGCTCGTAAGCTCCGCTTGTTAGCTGGCTCGGTTAACATTTATTATTTATATATTAAATAATGTAAAAATATGTAAAAAAAAAAGAAGATAAATATGTTATTTATATATTTAAAAAAATATAAATGTAAATAATAGTTAACTATAGATGGTACATTTATATAATAGTGGTGGTAGATATTATTATTTTATAAAATATTCACTTTTTTTTAGTAAATTTATATATATTGTATATATAATTATACAATCAAAGTTTTAATTGTAACTTTAGTCTCATATGTAAGGTATGAATTTTTAAATTTTTTGACTCGTTAAGACTTCGTGAATAGGTTCGAGCTCGAGTCAAGCTTAAGTTAACTTGGCTCGAGCTCGGTTCATTAAATTTTTATTGCGCTCGAGCTCGAAATCGTTAAAATCTTAATAAACAAGTATAAACATACTAAAACTCGGCTCGTTTGTAACCCTATGTGGGGACTTGTGAAGCACTAACACTGACACAGACACGAGACACGACATGGACACGAGACATGATACGGACACGTGGACACGCAAATTTTCTAAAAATGGGGGACATAACACACTGGGAATACGCTTAATATGTATAATTTTATTTATTTATTATATGTAAAATTAAAAAAAATATATATTATTTTTATTTATTTATGTTATGTTATTTATTTACTTTAATATCAAATATCATTCACAAATTAATTTTTGTTCTATAAATAAAAATAATTTATTCTATGTATGAAGGTAAAAAAAGAAAAGAAATAAGGAATGGAAGAGGGAAAAAAGGAATAGAAGAGGGAGAGAAAAAGTCAAACATGAAGAGGAAAGAGAGAGAGAGAGAGTCTAACAAAAAGGTAAGAGAGAAACCACGAAAGAGAGAGAGTGACCAACATAAGAGACGAACATAGAGAGAGATAGGCGAAACGAAAATTCGAAGAAGTTGAGCAGAGAGCACCGAACAAAGGGAGAGAGAGAGAGAGAGAGAGTCGAACGTGCAAAGATTCAAAGAACATACCTCGATCTAGGGCTTCAATAGGTTCTTCACCCTTTCTCTTTCTCTCTCTCTTTCTTTGTCTTCAATGGGTCTCTCTCTAACGTGGCCATAACATGTCCCAAGAGTGTACGGCTATAAAAATTAAAAAAAAAAGAAAAGGGACACATTAGGTACAGTGTCCGACGCGTGTCCACCGCGTGTTCGATGCGTGTCTGTGTTCAACACTCTTATGTTGCTTTCGGAGAGGTGTCCATGCTTCATAGGCGGGGACACGCTGAAGACCATTTTTTAAAAAAAAAAATTAAAATTTTTAATTTTTTTACTAAGAAGTTGATAAATTTGATAAAATTAAATATTTGACATAAAATAAATATTAAATATTTAAAAATGTGAAATATAATAAATATATAAAACTATATGTTTCGCATGTGTTCCCAACGTGTTGTGTCCTGCATTTTTTGAAAATTTGCTTGTCCGTGTGTCCATGTAGTGTCACATGTCCGTGTACGTGCTTCTTAGACTGGTAGGTTGCTTTATCTTT